CCCTTCCCCTTTTGCAAGCCTTAATTATCAGTTAAAATATTTTCTTTTGTACATGGGCTTATATTTCTAATCTACCCTCTATGCTCTATTTCAGATTACTACAATTACTATTACTACTATTATGGTTATAGTTATTATGGACGGTACGTTTCTTCATCAAAAGCTTTCATATTTTCCCTCAAAAACTACTACGGATATGGATATTTTAAAAAGGACATTAGCGTTTATAGAAACGCAATGTACAATCATTTTAATTATGGTCCGACATTCGGCGGAGGACATGATATTTACGTTGCAAACAATGCAAATAGTAACTATAATTCTTACTTTAATTCGTACTCTTATACCGGTAAATACTCTAACAATGATGTCTGGACAGGAAATAACAATTTCTGCGCAGATGAGGTAGAGGTTTACTATGAAGTGACCAGTTAGTCGAGCAATCTGTTAAAAAGTTATCATGCAACATTGTTAGCTAACGTGGGAGGGTCTTATTAACTTCATTGTGTAAAACAAGTACGTTGTGTCTCCACAGGCAATATAGTGCTATTCGTGCATGATCAAATGGAAGCATGTTCATTGATTGAATTTAGTACCTAGAGCAAATAAGTGTGCAATTTGATAATGCAATGAGGTCAAGGTCATTTTACTTTCGTATTTACTGCTTTCAGTGGAATGAAGATTATCATTTCATGGGGTCAGAAATTCGGTTGAAAATTTCTTAAAAAATTCACGCAGATAAAGATTATATGATATTTTCTCGTTATGAAGCAAACTTTGTGGGGTTGAAACGCCTTTTACCAACCGAAAGCTACTTCGATATAACAGATATTCATCTGAAAAGTGATGAATTATGCCTCTGCTTCATTTTTAGGAATTAAAGTTAACTGAGGAAAAGTAAAAAAGTCAAAAATAAAAAACTGATATAGTGGGCTAAGAATGAAACACATGCGTAAGAAACTTGATTTTGTATAATGTAAAACACCAATGTATATCTTAAAATAATCTTGTATGAATGGTATGAAGCATATCTTCCAATAGACAGAATTTATAGCACCGCTAACTCATGGCATATTCACAGTCTGACGAGTAAGCTGCGAAGTTTTTCTCGTCGGTGAAAGTATACGCAAACTCCTTTCATAAGGCAGTAGTTAGTTAAATGTTTCCATAATTATACTTATTAAACAAATAATAGTAATTCTCGGTCAGAAATGTTGACGTAAGAAAAGCCAAATAGTCGTATTTCAGTTTGATAGATGTGGTTACAACTTTTCTATAAAATACTGTAGACCCGAGATGTGATTTTTGGAATAAGAATTAGTGAGAGTTCATAATGTTTAACAGCTGATGCAATAAACAGATGATCTCTGTAATGGTGTAAGGACTATTTCTTTGCCTTTGTTTGTGATAATCACAATATAATATTTGGCGATGGGGCTGATAGAGGCTGTAGCGACAGCCAGAAAAAAAATTGTTCAAAGTTAGAAAGCAACACGGTGATACAAAAGTTTTCTTCGACCTGCAGAAGTTATTTTAGCTGACTAAGGATGGATACCGGTGTGCACCCATTCTCCACGGAGAAGGGTGCGACTATAAGTAGGCTATAGTTAATTATAAACATTTCATTTTCCTGAGAACAACACAGTATCAAAAAAGAAGACATATTCTCCATTTTCACAGAATTATCCATCTCAAAAATTTCTTGAACACTTTGGAAAACATTTGAGGACTGAAGTAAATTGCATTCGAAACGTTGAAAAAATTAAGGGAAACTAATACTTCAGATGAAAGGACTTACATGTAAGACTAATTACCCGACGGCGTTAGCTTCAACTAAATTACTTTCGTCTGATTGTTTAAACGAAGTTTAGCCGTTGTTCAACAAAGCAACGTCTTAAATAATCCGACGAAGAGCTAACGCTCGAAACGTCAGCTTTTGTAATCGTTACGGTGACCAATTTACCATTTCAACTTTGTTGATATATCCAAATTATGTCTTAAATAATCCTCAATTTAGCCCAATCAGTGTCAAGAAGGCCGAAAGCTATTAGTGAAAGGACGTTTATGTCATTAAATCAACCCCCTTATAGAGAAAGCGCGAGGCCCGCTGACTGCGGATAATCGCGGTTTGGATCAGTAGACCTCGTATAAAACAAACCGGCCTTGAAGACGGTGCTTACTAATAGGAATCTAATTTTTCCAGGCAAATGACAATGCAAACAAAATAGATCTTTTCAAAGGCGATGAAAATCCAGAAAGAAAATCAGGGTAGCCAAACAATATTTCAAGATATTGAATAAGTTACCAGTTTCTGGGATCACTACGTAGCAAACATTGCAAATGAGTTGCATGTAGGAAATATATGGCGAAAAGTTGTTTCGGCGTCCAAATGAACAAAATTGAAGAGAGATCATCGATTTTTCATCGCTGCTTTATCAGAAATGGATTTAGGTAATGTTGATAAAAGGGAAGCGTACGTTTTTTGTTCGGACAACCATGACACATGTGATAGAGACTACCGATAAACTTAGATGCGTCAGGCTTGTGAAGTTTAAATTGAAATTTATGAATATGAGCAAGAAATCGCCAAGAAATAACTCAACAAAGCCATGCGAGTTTTACTTAAATTCTGCCTCCAGCTTTTTGCTTGGCTTAGCTTGGTAATACAAGAGAGCGCTACAGCAGCTACCTCGATCGAGGGATCAGGAGATTGAAATAGTCTGGTTGAGCATTAAACATTATCTAGATACATTAGAGTGATTAATGGCCAAACTTTGTTATGGAGGTCTCATTTTGAAAACAAAGTTTGGACATGTAACCCGAGGATTTTAGGAACTAAAAAAAACCTCAGCATCATCACCCATAATGGCCTGATAGATTCAGTCATGATTTTGTTTACTTAACAAAGTGGAATTGAGTTCTGAAGTTTGTAGGTTAATTGTCTTTTCCAAGATAACTCGATGCTCCATTTAATTTTTGATGGTGTGCCAGGTGTTTAAATCTCTGTTTTCCCGGCATTAGAAAATCAAGAACGAATCGTGCCGCTAAAGGATACCGTGATCAATTAGACGAGACTTAAGTCAGGGTTAAGTACGTACCCTTTCATTATGTTAGGCTTGTTGGGTCTGGTCAAATAAAATTTTATCGTCAACTGGCCAGTGACTAGTTATTCTATAGTTCCCAAATAGATATTTACTTTCCGCTTTCGACTTAATTTCATCGTCTTATAGGGTACTGATCAAATTTCTTTTTAAGAAAAAGTCTCCATTACGGTCTATTTTGCGTCTCCTTTAACCTCCCTTCAGCAGTGTTGCGCCACCAGTCTACATGTTTTTAACTTATCTTGTTTCTATTGGCGTATTTTCAACACGTTAAAAGCCACAATCGTACTCTTTAACCTCGTTTTAGCATTCGGCGCTTTTGAAAGGAAGTGACCCTCTTAGTCAGACATGTTAGTTTATAAAGTTAGTGGCTGTTTTCCAAAAAATGCTAAGCGCCAGAAACAAAGTGTAGAAAATTAACGGCTCCAGTCAAGGCATTTTATAGCTTATCGCCAATCGGCTTTCGATTCCTGTGAACGCCAATGAGATGAGAGAAGTATGTCTGTTCAATACCAAGCGATTTCCTTTGAACCGAAGTGGGCTGAAGTATTCACTAAAATACCGCCTGATAATTTGATTGATTTCATGGATGAACAACCTAAGGGTAGTCCGAAAACACACAGGGACGGTCATTCATTCCTGAGTTATACCAGTGTACTGGCCCCTGGTTGTTCGAAGGGTGGATAACGCTATCCACTGGATAAATCTCTATCCGGTGGATAGCGCAGTACGTTTTGGTAACACTTATCTGCTGGATAGTAATTTATCCGTTGGATAGCGTTATCCGCCCTTTGAACAACCGGAGCCAGATTAAGATCTCCCAGTGCTGCCAATGATCCGATCAGTCACGAGCTTTTTCTTCTTAGCTTCGGGAAAAAATCCTCAGCGCTCAACTTACTTAAGAAGAACAATTTTGCGTTGCTTCATTCGAAAAGTTTTATGTTCTGATGTTCATTTTCTACGATCACCGCGCGAGTAAGGAATAAACTTTCACAAAGCCGAAGATGTTTTCCTTCTGGCAAACTTTGTAGATCGATATTTTTCTCTCAGTTGACAAAGGGAGCCAATGGTCGAAGATCTTGAAAAACGGACATAGGGGAGACAAACAAGGAAAGAATTGATATAATCAAAGTATACAGAGAAAAAGCAAAGAAAGCGGGAAGAGAGAACCCAGGAAAATCAAATTGTGTGAAAAGGAATTTGAAACATTCAAGAAGTCGTAAAATTACGTAATCGAATGAAAGCACTTTGCTACAAGAATAAGAATAAAAGAAATATGGCATTTTTTGCACCCCGTGAGGGTGATCACGAATTTTGCACCACAGCGTGTTTGCGCTGAAAAGTATTGTAAATTTCCTAGCGAGTGCGTTTGAGAGCTGACAAGTTGATTGTCGCTTACTCTGATAAACTATACTTTTGGTGCCACATGAGAATTTCAAATATAGACCTTGCATGATAACATTTCACCGTTCGCGATTTTAGTGTGTATTCTTGGAAGGAATTATACTTTCTTCACAGTTAGATTTACATTTGCATAAAACTTAGCGGCAACAAGCCAAAAACTTTCAAGTTGATACAGCCCGTTTCAGAAATCCTTAACCTCCTTCAGGCAACATTTTGTGTGGCACGATTTAAAAAAAATTCGAGACAGTAATCTAAATCCTTTACCTCGTTTAAGAGAGATAACTAAGTTGCAACTCCTCCCCTTTCCAAAAATACAATATTTCTGCAAGAGCTATTGTCGAAAGGTGATCCAGTGACTTCGATGCTATCGCCGCTGAATAAATTAAAAGAATCACCTAGTATTCACTCTACCGACTTTGAGAAAAAAAAAAAAAGAGTGAACATATCTGATAGAAAAAACTAGCTAAAAAAATCTCAATTTACAGAAATTGTAAGAGGAAGTCATTAGCATTTTATTTCGATCCTCCAAGGAGAAGAAATAAAAAAAACGACCGTGTAAAGGAACGACATAGCCGTATTTATCTTATTTATCACATTAGATGGTGTCAGTGAAATGTTTTGAACGACAATCAGTTATGCCTAATTAATCCAAAATATGGCTGATCACTTATGATTCTCCTTCAGGATTAATCCCTTTTACGTTGTTGCAGCTCTTTACCATTCCAAGAACTTGGTAACATTTTCAGTTTCACCGAAAAAAAAAAAAAACGTTGTCATTATTCTTCATAGTGAGAAAGAAAACAAAAGATACCGATAAAAGGTTAAAAGAGGTTAAAAGTGAGGTATGTTTTTACTTACTACCGAGCTCATAATCTGCTATATGTAAGGGAATAATGAAAACAAATGTGACGTAAATCAATCAACCTGCCCTGGGAAAAATGTGAAATCCCAAAAAATACCGCCAAAGAGGTCTAGAAAAATCCAGATAGGCAAAACAAAAAAAAAAAGAGCAGTTGGTCCAGCTGACAGGAATCTGTGACCTATTATAGGAAAGCTGGAACGAAACTAACAACCCTGTAACCTCTTATAACCAAATGGCTATTTCATTTTTTTTCTTTTCATTGAAATCGACAACGAAACCAGCTCAGATCTTATCTTGTCTTCGCTGATAGTATTTGCTTACACACGTGCCCTGATTTGTCAGCTCAAATAAATTGCGCGTAATGTTCGTATCTGATCAGCCGCCGAGACAGTGAAATCGAACATCAAAAGTTTGATATTCCCGACCATGTCCTCGTTATGTTGACCAAAATGAATTAAGTTTTCGTTCATGATCATTCCATCCATTACTCAACAGCAAAAAGCCATAAAATTTCAAGTTCATGCATTCCATTTCGGTAACGTATCCTTTAACCTCGTTTAAGCAACGGTGTTTCAATAGTCCTTAAATCTTCTAACAACTTCCTGTTTCTAATGGTGTATTTACAAGAAATTGTAGACAATAAACCCCTTCTTTGACCTCGTTTCAGCAATACTCGGTAACAATTGGCACGAGGCACGGCAACAAGACGATCTACTAAAAAATGGGAAAACATACTTCTAACTGAAAGAAGTTGAACCATTACTCAACCAACCTTGAATGAAGAGACAATTGTTATGAAGAGGACCTAAGGAGGACATGGACGAGTTTCACTATTCAAGGTATATCTCAGTTGTAGTAGACTCCTCGTGCATTGACGTTGTGAAAATTAAATCGCATGAGCTACTTGCCCCTGACCTCGTTCCAGCAAAAGTTATCAAATGTCTCCTTACCCATTCTAATGGTATCATTTAAAAGAGCTGCAGAGGCTTCTTCTGGCATTCCCTACGAAAGCTTGGGATAGCGAAACCCTCAGAAAGGCTAGAACTTGTACTGCCGCAGAATGGAAGCAAAGAAGACATTAGGGCTCTTTGCTCTCCTTGTGTTTCTCCTCCAGCTGTGTCTTTCAAGTGGTGAGTGTCTACATATATATATATTTTTTGTTGTTGTTGTTGTTTTTGTTTTTTTGTGTTTTCCTGACCTGATTTAACATATTCGAAGGACTACAGTTGCTCATTCCACATTTCTTTACTATTGCAAACCAAAAAATATGGCAGAAAAATGCGTTTCCTGACTCGATCCACACTTCAGGTGATCGGGTCAGAGCAGACTGAGATGATTTTTTTTTTGATTTATCCACACATGCATTAATCATAAGCTTTGACCAGGTTTGCGTCCTAAGGAAGAAGTCGCCAATCTCCGGAAGCGAACTTTTGTAGAAGAATAAAGCTGATCTTGTTAAGCTAGACAGACATGTAGTTGATCGTCTTTAAAAATCGACTCTGTCTATCCGTTGATTTCGTATTTCATGTTTTATATTGAGGGTTCATAGTCGCCCTCTGGTCCTGATCTTTAGGTACGTAAATGTGATTGGCTGTTTTATTTTTACACAGGTTAGTAATAGCCCAAGGCCAGTGATGTGGGATTTTGTGGCCAATCATTGCAATTTATACGACAATATTTTCTTTAATAGCTGTAGCTGAGATCAAAATTTACGTTCGAGAGTCAGCAAACTGTACTTTGAAGTTCCTGCATTTTTGTCTTCATAGTCCTAAAATCATAACACCAGCTGTTCTATTTGAAATCTTCCTTTTTAGCGACCATCTTTCAAGCTGGAAAGGTCAACATAACTGACACTTCCCAAAATAGTCATGGTTGCCAGTCCGTTTCTTTCAAAACGCAGTTCCAGGGTTCAGGCGACGTAAAAGTCTTTGTCACTCTTAGCCATGGCAACAAACATATCAAAATCCACGACCCAGCAGCACTGTGGGTAAAGTCGGTCTCCACGTCAGGATTTAAGGTTTGCGTACGTGAGGCAGGTAGTGGCTCGGCAGGTAATTCTGTCATCAACTGGCTTGCTTTTCAAGGTTCTCATCAAG